GGGTGTGAAGTGTCTGCGAAAAGGACGATTATTCGCAGCACCTGCTCTGCTGTCAGAAACCCTTATTTACCGGGCAGCGAACCAGTCCTTACTGTCCCTTCTTGGGATGTTCTTGGCGTGCCCTGGCACTGTTCACAGGCATGTGAAAGGCTGATATTTGTATATTATGTGCATTATAGGAAGTAAAAGTATGAATAAGGCATCCAGGCTCCCAGTATAACATTGGGGAATGCTGGAAAGTGCAGAAACGTGACACTTCACCTTCACTCTGAAGATCTGAGCAGTATTCATTCGTCTACAATGTGGTGGTGGTGCTACTTGCTCTGCTTTTCCTCCTGGTCATCAGTGTCCAGGTCCTGTCCCATGGGATGGGAGGACTGGTTCAAAGCTTCCCTCATCCTGCACAGTTTATCTTGGGCAAATTCTCCATTTTCAAGTCAGGACTTTAATGGCAAGACGTTTGGCTGCTCAGAGCAGCAGCCACATTATACTCTCCCCATTGAAGCTGTGCCAAGGTGCAGCAGAGAAGCAGGGCTTGAGGGATGGTGGTGTAACCTGTGCCTGCACCCCACAGGGCCACGCTCAGCCAGCAGGGGTGCAGTGTGGGTTGCTGCCCCTCCTTCCACTATTTTTACCATAGCTGACATAAAGACTTTGCTAGTTCAGCTACAAAAGGTCCCTCAGAGAATGAGGAGCAGTACTGAAGCACTCTGGGGTGAGTGCCTCAGCTTTGCAGCTGCAGACTCAGAGATGTGTTTGTCTTCTTTACCTCTTGGAGATCTTTCAGATGACTACCTTTTGGATCTACCTTTCATCCTTCTCCTGAATTTTCTATCAAGTCACTAGAGGTGTAACAGCAGTAGGGAGCCACAGATTTACACCCTCATGTGAACAGGCATCCATTTCTTTCTCCGTGGGCTGTGTTGTCTCCAGTGCAGCTGGAGAAGCCCATAGTAGTATAGCTCTTTCCTGACTGAAACAGCATTGCTCTTCTGCTCCTTAGAAACCTGTGGGTCTGTGCTGAGGGTGGGTTTGGTCCTGGCTGCATGTGGAAAGCAGTGTCCAGGGGGATAATCCTTCAGAACATCTTGGGATCAAGTGAATTACCCTCTGGGGCTCTGCACAGGCTGTAAAAGGATCTGATATTCTTCAGTTAGCCACCTACTCCTCAGACATCAAAAGTCTGTTGCATTTTTAGCAGAAAGTCTGTGTCCCAGGTCCAAATACAGTCTTGTGGGGCATCTTCTTTTTCTGCAAGAAAAGCACCATGTGTTTATAAATTGCTCTTTGCCAAATCACTTGTTCTTGAGAAGAATTACACTGTAATAAGCTGCATCATTAAAATGAAATTTTTCTGTGAGCAGTGGAGCCTGGTTTCCTGCGGTTTGGTGCCTCGTGGTGTGATTGTGTTGTGCCTAATGAGGAGCACTCTGACTGAAGTCTTTTCTCCTGTTCATAAAGACTCTGCCTCATGTGGGTTCTCTGGTGTCTAGAATACATTTGGGATCAAACTGCCATTGTTTAGGTTCTCTCCTATCTGTCAGTGTAATATTGACCACGTGGCAAGTCTTTCCTCCCTGGAGATGTGAAAGGGTCATACTTCTCTACCCTGATGCTTCTTTTCACAAAAATGGTTGAAAATCAAAGCATTTGAGACCTCTATCCTGCAGTTCAATTTGGCTGAAATTGGTCAACAGGCTAAAAGATAATTGAGAATAATACTGGACTGACACAACAATATAGTAAATCTAATTTTATTAAGTATTTGGGCAATAAATGATGGAAAGTAAATGATGGAGCAGATTAAATGTGGAAAAAATATTCATAAATATTTATTCAAACACTTAAATGTACTCAAGGTAACCATTTTATGCCCCTTAATGCATTTCAATTTTATCATTTAAATTCACAGCCCTATGAATGACCAACAAGGGCACAGGCACCCTAATTGTTACAGTCATATCTCAAAATTAAAAATGAAATAATAGTTTTCTCTAAAACTTTTTTTTTTTAACAGATCCAGGGAATTATTAAATTCTGAGTTTCTCTCAGAATACTGCAAATTTAGGATTTAGACAAAGGAATGTTGAATAACTCAGAAAACAGATTTTGAAGATGGTTCTCACCCTTGTCAGAGAATAAAAACAGGTCATGTGGTTTGTGCTGGATTTCCAGAATTTTCAATAAACCTGAACTGAACAAAGTCAGACCAGAAATCCTTTGCTGAAATGATACATGGAAATGTTTCAGAAAGGTGAGATGTCACAATTATTTGCACACACACACAAAACTTAATCACAAATTAAAGAAAGATACATTGAATAAATTACTCATTATAATTTATTTTTCCAGTTCCTGAGCCATAGAAACATGCTTGTCATAAAAAGATTTTTGGAGATACTTGTATTTTCTTACCTTGGATGCAGTTTAGATGGATGAGCTACCATTGCTCTCCATGCTTATCAAATTAGGAGAATGCATTTCTAAATTCAATTACATCCTCAGTGGAAATGGTTTCTCTGACTCTGGTAATCTTTGGAGAAGAATTATACACAGTCTATAAAGCTTCACATTTCAAAACCTAATTTTGAATGTTATTCAAGAGGTTAATTTAAGATTCATCTTCCAAAAGGGGAGTTAAATAAAACTGATAGAGCGCTGGAACTTGTCGAGTGGTTGAGAGGTTTATCAGCATGTGAGTACGAGTTCATTAGTTTTAATTAGGATAATCACTAATGTTGCATTAACAGTTTGGTGAGAGAAAGTAATTGCTCACACCCACTGTATTAGATTGGGAGATTAGAATTCATTTTATGAGGCAATTAGCATTTCAGGGATTTTTTTAAAAAAGGTTTTTACGATCTGCCATTGCAGTAGTCTCCTTCACCAAAAAGAGTTTAAATTAACCATAACTTTCATCCTAATGGGATGCAAAAATTAATGTAAAATTAAGTGTGAACCAGCAATCCTACTGCGATAAGCAGACAGCTAAAGCCACAAACCTTGATTAGTTTATAATGACCTGTTTTATTTCCCAGACAGTGATAGCCATTTATCTGTCCTCAATTCATTATCTTCTTGGAAAGTTTATATTCTTGAATTTTATACAGCAAAACAAATAAGATACGTGGAAGGGAGAAGCAGAACAGTACTATTGAAGTAATAATTCTCCAAAGAAAAAGCTGCAAGTTTCAACATCAGTGCTTAACTAGTCAATTATTCTTTACATCAAATGCGAGAGGAAGAAGAAACAGCTCCCTCTGACACCCAGAGCCCTGGGAAGAACCATGAATTTCTCACAGCAGCAGCTATCACAACCCTGCTCTGCCTATCACGTCCCTTGGCAGCTACTGCAAAATGAGAATGAAGCTCCAGGATTTGTCATCCTGGTTGGCAGGGAAGCCCTGGTCATCTGAGTGTCAGGACAATTCTCCCAAGAGATTGGCTTCCAAAATGTCCTGGAAAGCAAAAGTGCAAGTTCTGGTGGGACAAACTGCTTACAACAAGGCTGTCAAGAAAGGCATCACAGTATCCATAAAAAGATAAGGCAATGCACCATTTGCATCAAATCTGGCACCTATTATACGGAATTGTGTTTTCCCCTGGTTAAAACAAATCTCTGCTCAAAAATAACTGAATAAATCCTAAACCTGCTTTGACTTGGGTGTCGCATGGAGAACAATTGTTAGATGTTAGAACTATAATGTAATTCCTATAATTTTGGGTACATATATTAAAATGAGTGGATGTGAGGCAGTATTTGTGGAATTACATGAATCTTTCTAAAATGTATGTTAAAGCAAAATGTACCTACTCTTCTAAGAGACGTTAGTTGATAAAAGAGAGATAGTCTTCTATGAGAAGTTCAGAGAGGAAAAAATGTCCTTCTATGTTTAAACAGCTAAAATTTAGGTACAACTAGACAGACAGGATCTCAGCCTCAGTCGCTCTGGCGTCAGCCAGGGTCACCTTTAGATGGTGAATTATGCCAGCTAAGATCTGAACCCTCCACTGGAAGGGCTGCCTCACTCTACAGACTGCAGAGGCAGTCCAAGGTAACCAGGTTTCTATCTAGGGTGGCTGAAGTAAATGCTTACAATTGGGTAGGATGAATCATGACCAGCATGCCTATGCCTTAGGGTTTGTCTATGCACAGTTATTGTGGAGAGCCATTACTCTTCCTGAATAGCATTACATGTGAATACACTTTTGGTTGAGTAAGACTTACTCATTTCTCTTCAACAACATTCACTTGATAGAGGCAGAGCCATTTGCTTCCTAGTCCTCACGTGGAATCCTTCTGCAAGAGCTGCTGCCTTTTTAGTGAGCTGCCCTACCTTAATCCAAATTTACTTTAGTATAAAAATGTCCTAAACTTGCCATCCATTCACCTTTGAGAGGAATTTAAGATTTATGGCAGTAAGCACATCAATTAGGTACAAATACATTGACTGAAAAAAATAATGAAATAATGAAGGTATCATATACAATAAGAACTGACTTTTATTTCACAAATTATGGATGTTATAAAGCTTATTGTTTCAGGGAAAATGCCTGTACTTGCCCGTATGTTTCATTAAAGAATAATAATGCCATACATATTTCATTTCCTTGTTCTGAGCAGCAAGACTCTTAACTATATAAAATGCCCCATGCTGTCCTTGCTTTGTTGGGGTTTTTTTCCCTTTTAATCAGATTTTTTCCCCTGAACTAATGAAATCACTCTTTAAACACATACATCATTTTCATTTGAAGTGACTTATCATGACTCAAATGGTTTGTTTCTTCTCCTGGAGAGCAAGGCAACTGCCAGCACCTTCTGCTGTGCAGATACACACCAGGATTGACTCTGATCTCCGGAGTGCTGAGTTCCTGGCATTCCCACCAGTGCTGTTTTAGGTGGAGTATCAGGTGGCTGATATCTACCTGGTGTGCACATTGCATATCTGCACTCATTCCTGGTCTATCTGCTATCACGAGTAATTTCTCTTTTCTTGTAGTATGCTGCGCAGACGTCCACGGAGCAAGGCATCCTTCCTCCCTGCCATCACCACGAAGCAGTGCACGACCCCCAGCTGGTGCCCTGCACGTGCCCGCTCTTCTCCTGCCCATGGGAAGGGCACCTGGAGGTGGTGGTGTCCCACCTGAGGCAGACCCACCGCATCAACATCCTTCAGGGTGCAGAGATTGTCTTCCTGGCCACGGACATGCACCTGCCCGCACCCACGGACTGGATCATCATGCATTCTTGCCTTGGCCACCAGTTTTTGCTGGTCCTCAGGAAGCAGGAGAAGTATGAAGGCCACCCCCAGTTCTTTGCCACGATGATGCTGATCGGCACACCGACCCAAGCCGACAATTTCACCTACCGACTGGAGCTCAACAGGAACCAGAGGCGCCTTAAGTGGGAGGCGACCCCCAGGTCGGTACTGGAGTGTGTTGACTCTGTCATTTCAGACGGGGATTGCCTTGTGCTGAACACTTCCCTGGCTCAACTCTTTTCTGACAACGGAAGCCTAGCAATAGGAATTGCAATAACTACCAGCAAAGTTCACAACACAGAAGCTGAAATGTGAGGGGGAAGAGGAGGAGGAACAACAGCAACAACAATGGTGCTCTAGCTGCCTTGTGAGAGCCAGAACTTGATGACTTTTTGGGGGGGTCTCAGGTCTTTTATGGGATTTAGTACTCGTCCACAGTGGGCATTATGTAAACATCCCGTGGTTACGGTCTCTGTGTAATGTATTTACCATTTTGTTAATACAATTTTATGAGAAATTTTAAAGAGGCTTATCAGTTTATTGTCACCCTCCAGCAGCACCAGAAACAACACTTGCTAATGAAATGTGCACCCAGAATGACTCATAGAAACCTTTGGTCTGGGCATGCTATGCAAATATGTTTATTTCATTGCCTGCTTAATTCACCTTGTGCCTGATGAAAGGTCAAGGACTCTACTAAGGGACAAGAGCACTCAGGTTTCCATATTAGCAATAGTGATTTCAGTCTTACACTGTGGTCACAACCAAGCCCTGCAGGAGCTTGCAGTTTCAGAGCTTTCTTCAGCTTCTTCACAACTTCACAACCCAGACAACAAAAGCTTCAGAAGAAAAAATTACCACCCCTGCCAAGCAGGGGCCTGGGAAGCCTCATCCTGCATTAAATCTGGGATGACAGCTAGTGCGTGGTCACTGTGAGCATGGCTAAATCTCACTCTTATATTGTCAAGGGCAATGGGAGGAAGCTAGATGATCTGGCTACAGAATGGATATAACCATAGCCAGCCATTGTGGCATTCAACCTTTTAGCTATCTCCTTAAGCATTCAAAAAGATTTTCAGAAAATAAAGTACCAGGATGGTCCTAAGCTGGGTACTGATCTTGCTATTGAATTCTGTGTCACTCAGACCCACAGTTTGTGCTGCTAAATATTGATTTAAAACAATATAGACAAAATATCTGTTTGCAAATTGGCTATGAGGTTTGAAATGCATTCTTCTGAAAAAAAAAAAGCCCTCAATTTTTTTTCCTTCCATACACACTGGGAGGGAGGGGTGTGAGGGATGATGATCCCTTTCTTCAGCTGAGGGTGTTTCACAGTGATGGTCACAAGAAGGCATGGGTTTCTCTAAGAGCTTCTCCCTCAGACGGCTCCTTGGGGAGAGTGAGAGGCAGGTGTTGGCCATCTCCTGTCACTCGGTCCCATCTGCAGTCAGGCCTGTTTCCTCCATAGCCAACAACAGCAGTGAAATCCCACTGCCGTAGATGAAGTGTTGAAGGAGAAGGCTCTACAGGGAGTGTGACACATGAGAAGTATGGGAAACTGTCTTTTCCTGTTTTCCCTTCTGCCCATGTGTGGCTGTGGTTTGGCTGCTCCTGAATGCTTTTTCAAGAAACATCTGGTAGATTGTGTCAGTTAGTAGATACAGAGACTGAGGCTCATAGCTTGAGTCCCTTCGAAAACCAAGGAAGGGAGGGAAGCAAAGTAAGAGCAGACCTTCAGCCTTTCAAAATGCATCTCACTGTAGCTAGTTTTGGGTAGGCAAAAACACTGATGCTGATCTCTCCCACCCGCTGCTCTCCTAGGAATTATTATAAATGATGCATGAAGTAAAATGAATTGCAATTTTCCTGAGATGAATGCCATGCAGGTAATGTCTTCTGAGACACAGATGAACCTCTCCTCCTTACCTGGACTTTCAAAGCAGGTCAGAAGGGAGCTAGGGTCTCTTCAACAGGCTGCTCATGACCGCACAAGCTGAGGTCCAAAGTCCTTGAAAGAATACACTGGAGCATAGCTTCACAGCTCTCTCAGCTCTCAATTTAGGGGGCCAGGGGAGGCATGCTGGTTTGCAGTGCTTCACTGGAACACATAGGCTTTAGAGCAGCTTGCTTTTTCCCTGGGATGTTAAATATTCAGAACCAGCAAATGCTGCCCTTTCCCTAAATGATAGCAATAAATAAATCATTGGCATTTTTGTGGACTGAAACTGGCTTCTCCAGCTCCTCCAGCAAATATTCTGCTGCCGAATTAAAACAGAGCAAAAGTAATAAAACCCCAATAAAAACAGTTTCTCTAGCTTAAACTTCCTGAGCTCCAGATAGAGACCAACTGTAATGATGCTTTTGTTGCCTGACCGCAAGCTCTAGGAGAAGGTATATTCCTTGGTTATTCACTTTTTCCAGACTATTTACTTCTGATTAGCTAGCACTTTTTGTTCTTGAAATACATACTGAAATGAAGATATTTTTGGTCATGGCCCTTGGCAAAGGACCAGCGTATTTCTGGAAGGATGAGTGTGACAGCAACCATTGCCTGGGATGGGCATGTCCATCCCTTGCAAGCACTCTGGTTTTGAAGGGGCAAAAGGCATAGTGGAAATGTGACCTCCCCAACACAAACCTCCTCACATCCCATGTGTCATTCTCCCAGAGCTTTCTTGTGACCACACCAACAGTTCAGCCTTTCCATTTCCTTTCCAGTCTTACCTTCGTCTGGTGGCTACCCTTCTCAGCCCATTCTCAAGCCCTCAGCCTTGGTTTCACCCTTTGACTTACAGAGCCCATGGCACTTCTTGCCTTCTCATGCTTTTGTTTGCTGGGTGCCATTGTTTAAACTGTTCTTGCTGCATTTTGAAGCCAACCAAGCAACCTCCTTGCTCAGCTTTCTCCACATCTGCAAAGACCCAGCTCTGGCAGAGATTTCAGAAATCTAGATACATTGGAGTACTGATGAAAATCTGTCCAGTAAGACTCCAGTAAAGAAAAGGAGGACACATTTTGGGGATAAATGAGATTATAGATGCCTAAATCCATCCTTCATAAGTGTCTCAACATGAAGCTCACATGTTTAAGGGTATATTTAAGGACTTTCTACCATAGAAAAAATTCTAATTCTGTCATAATTCAAAACCTGTGAGCAAACTTATACTGCCATAAAGCAATGGTGAAGCAAATATTCTGCATGGCAGGACATAAATCCTAAAATGTTGGCAAGTAGGGTCAACAATGAAATTTGGTTTACATTCACTCTTTCAGTGCCCATAATACAGCACTTTTTACAGCTCTCTGCTTATGGTTGAAAGGCAGCTGTAACTTGGCTTCCTAAATTTGGCCTGAAACTGGGACTTCTAGAATTCATTTTGTACTATAATATTTTGCATCATTATAATGTATTATACCAAATCACGCTAAATTTCTTCCTTCCTGTGAAGAACACAGCCTTGCATCTCTGAAGTAAGGAAGTACCCTTCACTTGGTGCAGGAGAAAATGAGGTCTTGCAAAATTGCTATGCAGCTGTTGCAGAATTCTCTTTTCCTACCTACCCAGCAGTGGTGTTGCCTCTTTGTTTTGGGCTTTGTTTTCTTTTTTATTTTTTACACAGACAACATGTTGGCTTTGAGTTTGGGTTGAGGGTTTTTTAGGATTTTTACATATCTCTGTTCATGGATGGATTTTCTTGTGCCTAGTTTAGTAAATTGCAACAATAATTTCATCAGGCTGAGCCAGATGGATTGCTACCAGTCCCACTAGAAAACCGACTTTAGTTCTTCTGCACTATCCATCAGACACAGTGTGAATGTTAATGTCAGATCTGCAGTAAAACAGCATTACTGCTTTCAGCTCAATCCCATTATGAATTAAGCTCACATCATATATCCATGAATCCTTATAAATCAGCTGAAGCATCCTGAGTCTCATCATCTTGAAGATGACAAAGGATCTTGCTGTGCCAGTGCCAGCCGTGGGGCTTGGTGAGAAGTAGGGCAGTAGTCCTCTTCCCACTGGACTTGATATTACATCCTCTGTTTCATTCCATCCTTTATGAATACAGGCCAGTAAACTACCGAAGAAAGGAGACATGGTAAATTCTGGACAATAAAAGGGTTATAACAAAATGAGTAATTTGCAATAAATTGTGAGATACTGCTGCATGGCTCTCTGTTTTGTGCATCAGAGGAATTAAATCCAATCGACAGTACTGTAGTGCAGGTCATTCATCTGCTTTTCTAGCCCAACACACACCTGGAAAACATTTTGATCAAAGAAGAGTCTGTCAGAACAGACTCAGCGAGGAACTTCTTCTCCAACTGGATCAGAAACACCTTCTCACATGGAAGAGCTGCAGATTCTGAACTGTTCAGACACAAGCATAGGTTTTTAATCTTTTTTTTTTTTTTTTAAATCCAGTTAACTCTGCATGCTCACGCTCTCTGAGTGAAGGGTGGAAAACAAAGATTGCCATGTATCCGCACCAGAACTATTCACACAAAAAAATAATTCATCTTCCACAGTGATGACCCTGCAGAAAACAAGGGGGTTTCACAGCAGGGTAGCACAGAGCATACACATAGAGCTGAGGACAGAGCTCAACCTCCGGGCAGAAACATTACTCAACAGAAACCACCTGGACTGAGGTCACAGCAGGGGCTGTCAGGAAAATGATCAGACATCCTGGGAGAAGCAAACAGCAGGGAGTTAAGGCTCCATGCAGAGATGTGTCTCTTCATATCAGCACATTCCACCTGGCAAAATGGTCTCTCATCTGCTGGGAGCCTTGTCTGTGGAGCAGTGCAGATGAGTGGATCAGCTGGGTTCTGCATAATGTTGCTGCATGATGAGGATGAACACCCAGCCCCAGTCCTGCCCAACAGCTCCTTCGGTTTTGGTGGGTACCCAGCTACCTGCAGCTGATAGTGATTCCTCCAAGTCCTAACACCTGACAGCTTTGTTGCCTTTCACCTGCATAGCTCCCACCAAGACAGGAAATTATTAGCTGAAAACCATGCAAAAAAATCTTTGGCAAAACATCACATTAAACCTATACCTCATACTCTTGGTTAGGGCTACAATTACTCATTCTTTCTCTCTCCACAAAGGCAATAGATTAATGCATAGCTTTTTTTATCTCCCTTTGGGCTCTGCCCCTCCAGAACATGCATGCGAAGGATTAGCAGGCAGTGATCATCTTCAAGAGAAGGACGAGGACTGATGGTCATTGCAAAGATGGCTCTTCTCACAGTACTTTCACAAAGAGATGCCAGGATCCAAAAAAGAGACTAACAATCCTTAGCAGGAGGCAAATGGGAAACACCAATTGCAAAGCCTGCCATCCTTCAACTAGAATGAGCTTTATGTCTTCCAGGTACTGAAAAT